ACGCTCTTAGTTGAGGCACCGTCGCCACCGCCTCCCTCAAGAACAAGTCTCCCCCTTCCCCCAGTTGGTACTCCCTCGCTGTAAGACAAGGCGCCGGGCGGGGCGGGTTGGGGCGGGGCGGGGCGCTGTGGCCGACAAGACGGACGCTCCCGAGCGGCACCCTTAAAACTTTGCAGATATCCACCGGCCACTTGTTGGCCGTAGAGACCACCGCTCACTCCTCCTCGCGCGCCTTCTTTCCCTCTTCCATTCCTCTTTGTTCTGCTTTTCTTTTTCTCTCTTTTCCCTTCGTTTCTTTTTTTCCCCAGCTCACGCGCGACTTGGTCGTGCCTGCCACGGCGGCCGCAACCACCGCTGGTGATAGGTGGTGATAGGGGCGGGAGGAAGAGAGGAAGCGAGAGAGAGAGAGAGAGAGAGAGAGAGATACAGAAGGGGGCGTAGAGAGCGGGCGATGGAGCGGAAGAGGGCAGGGTGCATGTGAGGGAGAGGGGGGAGAGAGAGAGAGAGAGAGAGAAGTAGGGAGGGAGGGGCCTGGAGAATGACATGGGTGAGGTCCCCAAAGTGGCCGGCATCACAGCGACGTAGCAGAGCAGCGGTCCCGCACGGTCTCGGGGGACTTCATGAAGCGACCTCTGTGTGTGTGTGTGTGTGTGTGTGTGTGTGTGTGTGTGTGTGTGTGTGTGTGTGTGTGTGAGAGAGAGAGAGAGGGAGAGTGTGTGAGTGTGTGTGGGCACGTCGTCCCGGTCCTGGCCGTGCGGCTAGCCTCGAATCTCATCACTACGGCTCCCCGGCGTGCATGCCCTTCGTTATCTCCTCTTTATTCCCAGCAGCAGCAGCAGCAGCGATAGCAAATCCCAGCCCATTCGGCAGCAGCAGCAGCAGCAGCTGTCAGTACTGAGGCCGCCATTCACTCGACAACGCCGCGTAGGTAGGGCCGTAGGGGCCCCCCGGGTGGAGCGACGCGACTATCTGGGCGCCTCATCTCAACCACCACATACGACCACACGCGCCTGCCCACAGTCGGGGCGGGACCACTCGACGGCGCCAGTGCCGAGTGGAGTAGCTTTAGGACTGCGTGCGAATCCGGGTTTCGATATCGAGAAACGAGATGTCGAGAAACGATGTATCGAACTAGCATCGGAAATTAGCTTGATGCGTACAGGAGTCTTGATAATATCGTGAGACATCGATATCCCAATATCGAACCGATAACGTCAAGGAACGATGTCGGAACTATCACAGTGGCAGCGAAACGATATCGTGCGACCGGATTTGAAGGTCAGAAAACAACCAATCCTGCAGGAAAAGTTGCGAGAAAAACGGAAAAAAACGGGGGAAAACCGAAATTTTGAAAAACGACCCTACTTGTGTTGTTTTCTCCATATTTTCACTAAACATTTTCCGATTCCCCCCCCCCCCAAAAAAAAATGAACTTTTCCGGAAAATTTAAACCTCTACGTCATTTTTTTCACTGACGAGAGACATTGTATGCCTCATTCGGTTAGACACCTGTCGAACAATTGTATGGAAGGTCGCGGTTGCCGGCGCCCACGCACACTTCCATGTCACGCGACGCCAGAGCAGCGGGTGTGACAGAGAAAGACGTATCGTGGCAGCGCGGTGGGTGCGAGAGAGACACGAGAGGCCAGGCCGACATCGCTATACTCCCAGTTAGTTAGACGGACTTTGTTGTTAGTCGCGCACGACGAATTAAGGACGAGAGGGTTACCAGGTGGCTGACTAACGCCGCGTACTTTTGTAGTTATACTGGACCGCATGGACGGGTGCGTACGGGTTTGCCTATGCTCGCTGCGCCGTGTGAGAAGGCACCCCGCCCGCACGCGTGCATGCGGTACAGTACAACTACAAAGGTGCGCGGCGTGAATCACTGTAAAGAAAATTATTGTGATTTTACGACATTTTCTCGGTTAATTTTCTATTACGAAAACTTCGTTTCTAACAAATTACGATTCGTCGTTATTTTACGAATTTGCTATGTAAAATCCCAAGCTCTAACTAAAGGGTATGAAAATTGTAAATATTTTAGTCAAATTTTATGTCTTACGATCCGAAAAATTGCATTCGTTACGAAATGTATTCGTTTCTTCACGAAATGTTTTCGTAAATTGGCACTTACGAAATATTTTCGTAAATTGGCACTTACGAAATATTTTCGTAAATTAATTTTTACGAAATATTTTCGTAAATCAATTTTTACGAAACATTTCGTAACTTATTTTTTCGTAAAATCACGAAAACGTTTTACAGTGAATCAGCCACCAGGTACAAACAAAACGCTGTGATCTGACATAGTTCTAACATTTCATGTACTTACAGTCTCCTGCGTGAGACTGTCGTTTTGTCTGGTACGCGACTGTCAAGACGGGCCGTCAGAACGGACGTCGAACTCTTGTTAAGATAAGACAGTAATTGGGCGTACCGATGACAGTCGCCTTGTCGCCTCGTTTAATTGTAATGTTGCTTATCTTGTACTGCTACTTTGAATAACAATTGTTGTTATCGTGGTCTGGGACGGCACTGAGCTTACATATAGGACTCCCCCGTGTGGAGAGGAGTCAGTCAGGAATGAAGCCTCCCAGAATGCTGGTCGTGTGTTGTACAGTGCTGATAAGTAAGTAAGAATAAAAGTGTGATGATATACCATGTTCGTTGTTGGACCCCATATTCGAATGATACGCCTCAAATTAAGAGGATCACAACGCGCTTGCCGTAAGGTGACACTTTTCCAACGAAAATACGACAAATGTGTTTTAAGGTAATGCAGCCGCGGGTGCGGTGTACGGCGCGCACTGTGACTTCAATAAGTCTAGTAGTGGTATCCCCCCCCCCTACCCCCATCTCCTCCGCCAGCGACTCTCATCAGGGCCGACCCACCCGCGCATGACGGAACGCAGTGTGGCCAGCTCTGTCTCTCTCCCTCTCTCCCCGAGTCTTTTTGTCCCCTTTCACGCTCTTAGTTGAGGCACCGTCGCCACCGCCTCCCTCAAGAACAAGTCTCCCCCTTCCCCCAGTTGGTACTCCCTCGCTGTAAGACAAGGCGCCCCCCCCCCCCACCCCCACTCCCTCTCCCCCGCGTCACCACCGCTCGGCACAGGATATCACTTTTCCCACATTTGTTATTTCCGCTTCTAAAAGAGACGCTTTCGCTCGCTCTGCGGTATCATGCGATTCTCTCCGTTACCCCTCTCCACCTCTCTCTCTTTCTCTCTCGCCGCGCCAGAAAGGTTGCTTCCCTTTGTCCAACACCTCTCGTTACACCCCCCCCCCTCCTCCCTCCCCCCTCGGGTCGGGTCCGGGGGTCGGAGCGTTGTGCCCCTATCGAATTTGCGCGCGCAGGCCGGCTATTTTGCATATCACTGGAGACTTTCAAAGTCTCGCGCGCCCGCCCGCCGCACCCCTGCAGGGGTTTGTGATGGAGAGAAGAGAAGGGTCGCTCCGGGGGGGCGTGGCGGG